TCAGTATACACTGTACTTTTTCCCAGCAGCTAAATGATGTGTGACATCTCACCAGATTGAATGGAGCAGATATGAGAATCTGTCTAGCTGATTTATATTAAGCTAGATATTAGATTTTTTAAATTATAAAATAATGAATAAAAAATAAGTTATGTAAACATGAAATGGCTTCATCATCAGCATTTTCAAGTGAACCAACAAGTCATTTTTAAATTTTTAATACTGTAAATATCAAAAGATATAACCCACGTAAACAAAAGTTCTTAAAGAACTTTAATCAGTTTTTTTTGGGGGGGTACCCGGGATCAAACTCGGGTCCTTGCGCTTGCAAGGCAGGCAGCAGAACCACTGGGCCAAATCCCCAGCCCAGGAACTTTAATTAATTTTAAGAGCCTATAAAGGGATTCTGCGACCAAAAATTTTGAAAACTGGAGTTCAAAAAAAATGTAGACTTTTTCCTTGAAAAATAAACACACATAGTTATACTCTCATTATTCCTTCTAGTATAATTCCAACCACATACATCAGTTATAACATTTAAGAAAATAACAAATTTCTAGTTTATAGAAAAAACTAAGGAGCAAGGCCCAGGTTTTAGCTCAGTGTCGCCGCCACCTGCCTCGAAAGTGCAAGGACCTGAGTTCAATCCCCAGTTAAAAAAAACAAAAAAAACAAAAAAAAAAAACTAAGGAGCATGGATAATTGAGAAATCATATGTAATCATTTTATCAAACTAGCAAATCTTTTTTTTTCCAGTACCAGGGATCGAACTCAGGACCTTGTGCTTCTGAGGCAGGCAGCAGCACCACTGAGATAAATCAAACTAGCAAATCTTATAAACACAGAATATAACTTTCTACAGCTACAGGCATCCTTTTACACCTTCTTAATGTAGCAAAGTTAAACAAATACATTCATTAACATAATCCAAAGATATAGCCCTACTACAATATATAAAAATAAAAATTAAAGTATAAGTTTTTTAATTATTAAGTTAAAATTTTACTTGGTAATCAATGATATAGTATTTTGTCTTAGACATTTCTAGGTAGCTGATGATTATTAATTTAATATCAGTGCAAGATTTTAGCTTACATAAAAATCTTAAAAATTATTCTCAAGTTGACATACTATAAAACATAATTACTTTTGAAATCTAAAGTTCCTCAGAATAAGTATTTGATTTCTTTAGTCTCATTTTTAAGGTTTTTATAATCTTAAATACTATATAGAACAGCTTATTTGATAAGTAAGTCTATATAAGGTTGGTGAAATAAAATGTATATTTTAATTATACTTAATAGTGACAAAGAATATGACTTTTTTTAATAACTAAAATTAAGAGGCCGGGGATTTAGCTCAGTGGTTCCACTGCCTGCCTTGCAAGCACAAGGACCTGAGTTCAATCCCTGGTACCAAAAAAAAAAAATACATAAAATAAAATTTTCATTTGCCAAAGATTTAACGTATTGCTCAAAATGGAGAATACTTTAAATAAAAACAGAACAAAATCAAAGAGAAACTGAAAGTTAGGAAATTTATACTTTTATTGAAACTCAAAACCAAGGAAACTCTAGGAACCACGGAAAGATGAGCCCAGGTTTCAGCCACTCATATATTTCTCTGACAGGAAAATTTAACTAGCTTTGTCCGATAAACTGTGGGGATTCTCAGTGGAGCCTCTAAAGTTATAAAAGATGAAATCATATATCACAGTAGATAATAGGAAACAGGATAGATCTTTTACAGATAGAAAGGAGACCAACAGATGGGGGCAACATAAGAAGAAATAAGATGTGTTATGTACATGTACCACCTTCCCATGATGAATGTAATCATTATGTACTGTAAACATGTACTAATAAGAATAAAAAGTTTAAGTGAAATCACGTATCTCACATATATAAAGTGAACACGGGAAAGATTTTATGCCTACTTCTGCAGCCTCACCATGCACCTCTCTCTCTCATGCACTACTTTCCATTGTCTTTACAATTCTGAACACATGCATTGCTACTTTTGAAGCCTTTGTATATACTTCCCTTTCTCTGGAATTTTCTTCTTTCCACATTCACATGTTGAATCATTCTTATCCTGCAGGGTTCAGCTAATATAACACCACCTCTTCTAAAAAAAATGCCTTTCCTTACTCTCCACTTGACCCCATCACTATCCCAGTACCTGTTTATTTTTTTCATAGCATGTATCACAAATGACAATTATTTTATGTATTGTTTTATTTACTATGGAATATTCCTTCCAGTAAAATATAACAAGACTTCTTTATATGTCTTGTTTACCATTAAATTCTCAGCACATAGAACTCTTGATACATAAAAGAACTCAAAAAAGTTTGTTGAGCTGGCTATGGTGGTGCACACCTATAATTCCAGCTACTGGGATGGCTAAAGTAGGAAGATCACTAGAGCAAGGTCAGGCTGGGCAGCTTAGGAAGACCCTGTCTCAAAATCAACTTTTTTAAAAAAAAAAGGATTGGGGCTGTGGCATATTGGTGGAATGCTTGCTTAGCATGCTTAAGACCCTCTGTTCAATCTCCAACATTGTTTAAAAATTTTTTTTTGAACAATAGTGAAAGGCATGTGCTATTCCCTAGGATTTATTTTATAAATAGAAATATATAAAGACAAAGTTGGGTGTGCACATGTAGCACTCTGGACAGTGGAGGTAGGAAGATTGTAGAGCCCAGCCTAAGTGAGAACTCCTAAGTCTGGTGATATAACCTAGTACTAAGGCCCCATTACCACTAAATGAAAAAAACGTTGTTAATTCCAAAGTCAGGTACAAGGTGAGGGAAGAGAGGTGGTACAAGAGACCAAGAATCCAAGCATTAAAAAGTAGCTAGAACCTCAGAAATAAACAGAATTTTCATCCTCTTAGGAGTTTAGGGCCTGCCATGGAGGAAACATCTTGGAAAATATCTTAAACTTTCAGTTTAAACCTTTGAATAGCTGAGCTCTAGGAATAAGTTCACTGTAATTAACTGTTAGAAGGCATTAAATTTCTCTTAGAGGAACATGTCATCATCCGGTGCCTCTTCAGGTTTTTTTGTGTTTGTAACAAAACTACTAAAACCAGGGCCAGGGATTTAGCTCAGTGGTGCCACCACCTGCCTCACAAGTGGAAGGCCCTGAGTTCGATCCCTGATACAAAAAAACCTACTAAAACCAAGGACAAAGAGAAAATTGTAGGGCTGGGGATTTAGCTCAGCGGCTCGGTAGCCTGCCTTGCAAGTGCAAGGACCTAAGTTCAATCCCTGGTACCCAAAAAAAAAAAGAGAAAATTGTACCAGCAAAACACATTACCTTCAAAAAGACAAGAAAAACTGTTCTGATTGCAATCCTAATAAGCATAACCCAAAAACAATATTATATTTGTTTTAAAAAATTGAGGAGGAGGAGAAAGAGAGGCAAAGAGAAATCTGGAGTGTGACTTATTGGTGGAGCTCCTGCCTAGCATACCTGAGGCCCTGAGTTTGATGAGAGGAGTATTTTACTTGTTATTTTAAATGAGTCAGTTCATTGGGAATATGTAATGATTCTAATCTTTATTTATATTTTTTGTTCTTTTAACAATTCTGATTTTATTACATCTAATAATATAGATGTTGAAATGTCAAAATAAAAATTAATTGATCAATTTGTCATCCAGCCTTGGTAGTTCAGAGGAGGCTGAGATGAGTGAACATTGGAGAGGAGGTTAGAAAGTATTTAAGGCAAAAGAAAGAATATTTTCAGAGTGAAGCAAGAGAGCTTAAGAAAATAAAGGCAAGGGCCGGGGATTTAGCTCAGCGGTTCCGCCGCCTGCCTTGCAAGCACAAGGACCTGAGTATGATTCCGGTACCAAAAAAAAAAGAAAGAAAGAAAAAGAAAAAAACAAGAAAATAAAGACAATCCAGTCTTGGAAGAGAGACAAAAGAATGTGACTGGGTAGCAAAAAGGGTTGTCTGACAAGACCAATGCTTGATAAAAGAGAGCTAGGAAATGTAGAAATCTTAGAATATTTAAAAGCTGAGACTTTTAAATTGTGGAAGTATTATAAAGTCATTTGCTCAGATTTGTCTCAGAGGATGTCTTACTCCTAGAGGAGCAGAAAGTAGGACTACTAGCAGATAGACACATTGCAGTCCAGGTGAGATGTGGAGACAGAAGGGAGTGGATTTTAAAAATAAAACAGAGTAGCTCGTAGTTTGTGAAACATTCAAAATTTTAGCAGGTTAGTAGACTTACTCTTATATTAAAGAAGAAAAAAATTAGTAAAAGATCCATAAGCTGTATTACATAAGAGAAGTTTTAAAGACTACAATTTTTTCTGTCTATACCGCTAACCACAGGGCAGTGATAACTTTCATTTTCAAAGATCAAGTTTTGTCAGATCACTCTGGATTATCATAACCACAGGTTGGTTGTGTTTTTGTTAGCAGAACATTTATATTTAGAGTTTCTTTCCTATTTTTTTATTTTTCAAAGTTGACTTCTTTAGACTTGATGATCTGTAGGCAAATGTCCAAGTCTTTCTTCAAGCAAAATATATTGTTATAAACCCATTAAGCAGAATAGTGTAGGCTTTTCTGCCTAGAACTTTTTAAAATACCTTTGTTAATAGCCTTTCTCAGACAAAATTCTGTCTGAAAAGGCAGTCAAGTAAGGATATTATGCATTAATGCAGTTATTTTGCTTATTACCTAATTTCCTCTACTAGGAAGTACTTTTCTATGTAGGCAGGGACATGGTCTCTTTTGTTCAAGACTGTCACCCCTTACCTAGATCGGTATTTACCATACACCGAGTAATGAACAAGCATTTACTAAGTGAATAGATAAATGAAGAATTAAATCATATCTGTGTTAAACAAATAAACCTCACTAAAATAAGAAGGATGTCTCTTTTCAGTCTTATAAATTCATTTTATTTTCTTTTAAGGTATTGAAAATCTGATACTAAAGTATTTGAAAGTAAAATGATTATTTTTAATGTTTGCAGGACTATCTCAAGCAGGTGCTGGACATTGATCTTCATGCTCAGATCCATTTTGGCAGGGTTTTTATGAAACCAGGGTATGAAAATAATCTTCTCCTATTTGGGGTTGGTATGGTTGCTTTAACTGTTTTAAATGCTTTCTTTTTTATACTCTCTATTATGGGTTAACTATTCTTTAAAAAAGAAATACTATAGTGATAGAATCCTTTTCATACCTGCAGCTCCTATTTGAAATAAAAATTTTATCAGTTATAACCAGCAATGTCAATGGCCTGAAATTAAAATTCATCTTTCTTATGAATCAGTGATTTTGGGATAAACAAACAAAGGAACTTTACAAACTTTCTTTTCAGTTCTTTGTCTAGTTCCCTCCTCTTTTTTTTTCTTTCTCCCTATGCTACTTTATTCTTTTTAAAAACAATTTTCTACAAAAATTCTTAATTATCCATAAAAGTGGGATATACCCCTCTTCTTGTACCTGTCACTTAGCATCAGTAACTGTCAACAATTTTCTGTAATTGTTTTATCAATCTCCCCTATCCTATCTCTTTTAGGGGAAGGAGGGCTGGCTTGTTTTAAGCAAATTCTAGAAATCATCTCATTTTGGGTATATATATCAAATAATAAAAGCAGTAGCATTCTTTTAGATAAATACAGTAGTGTTATCTCACCTAACAAAATAAAAATACTTTAATTTCATCTAATATCCTGCTCATATTCAAAAATTTCCCAGATGTCAAGAAAAAGAATACCTTTTTATTATTGTTTTGTTTGAATTAGGATTCAAGTAAGGTCCACTCCTTGTATTTAAGTGTCTATTGCATCAAAACATTTAATCCTCCTTGCTGTTTTTTTTACTTTATTTATTAACTGATTGATTGTTATGCCATTGATTTTTTTTTTTTTTTGAGAAATTGAATGACTTGACCTGACAAGCGGATTTGCCTTTTTGTTTCCATGGGCTGTATTTAACATGTTCCTCTATCTCCAACATATTTTATAGATTGAGAGCTAGATCTAAAAGCTTAATTAGGTTCAGATTTTTTTTTCCTTCACAAGTAGAATCTCATACTGCTTCTTACTGTTTCCTAGGAGAAACAAAAAATAAATATGCCAGGATTTTACATATTTCCTGAAAACTAATAACTCCTAACAAAGGACCAATAGAGGGAGACGCTGTATTAGTTGTAAACCCTCAAAGAATAACCCTGCTCAGACCCCTGTTAACTCAATGAACCTTTGATTTCTATTCAGAGAATTCAGTGTATGAGTGAGTATTTCAGGACACCTCCATGCTCTCAGGAGCAACAGTAATACTCTGTTTCAGAATTGTACTCTGGTGTATGCTCACAGGAACCCTAAGATAATGGAGTATCGGATTCCCCACTGTTACAAGGGAGCTGTGGTTTAGTGGCTGGGTGTGGCAGCACATTACTGTAATCCCAGCACTCTAAGAGGCTGAAGCAGGAGGAGTACAAACTCAAGCCCAGTCTCAGCAATTCAGCAATTTACCAAGACCCTTATCACATAAAAAGGAAGAAGGAAGGAAAAGAAAGAAAAATAAAATAAAAGGTTGAGGATTATCTTGGTGCAAAGGCCCTGGGTTCATTCCCAGCATGCCAAAAAAAAAAAAGTGAGTGAGGGGAAACATCAGCATATTCCTGCCTTATCATGCCAACTCTCCTAATAGTCCTGATTTGTGGTTTATTTCAGTTCTAATGCACAAAATAGGATTTACCTCCAGGTTTTGACCACTTTTAAAGTTATGGTCATACCTAAAGCTTTAGCCACAATTGATAGAATTTATACAGGAATTCTTGCCAGTATATTTTTGTTGTTGCCTATTGAGTGTGTCTCAGTATGACTATACTAACAAAAACCTTTCTGTTGAAACTGTGGTATTTGGGTCATTCTTGTTAAGAATTGCTACACTAAGCTTTTTTTTTTTTCCTGTCCCTTTTTGATGTACTAATTTGATTAGAATACAGAGGACATGGCAAAAGCATGTAATCTACTTATTAATCCAACACTTGGTTTTCCCCTAGGGAATTATTTGTATATCTGTTATTTAAAATACAGCACCTATAACAATAATTTTTTGTACTCTTTTTTTTCAGTTTAGTATTTACCACTTGTTTCATCTTTAGGAGTTCTAAAATTCCTAAGGTTTATTCTCCTCCCCTAAAGTCATAACACTTCAATCACTGTATAACTGCTGTTACATTCTGATCTTAAGAGGAAGATTAAACAATAAATGTTGAGTTCCAAAGAAATAGCTTTCCAGAGCTTAACCAAAAACTTTACAGTCTAGAAGTAGGACACTTGTGACAGCAGTGTATGTTAATAAAATGTTTTGTTGTAAGTAGAATCTTTTTAAAGTGAATGTTTTGAGAAATCACTTTCCTATCTAGAAGATATAAAAAATGATTTAAAGTAGCCTTATGATTTAAATTGGCTTTAAATACAGAAAAAAAATGAGAAAGTATTATGCATTCCCTCCTCCTCTGTGTACTAGCTTGCTATAATAAAGTGATTTAAAAATCTAAATGGGCTTCCTTTCATTAGCCAAATTCTATACTTGTCTAAAGTTAACCAGAATGTAAAGGTAACTGCTACATACTAGTAAGGGGAAAAAAAAACATAAAAAGCTCAAATACAATTTAGCTTTGCTCTTCCCACGTGCATTACAAATACAGTTACCTCCTTCATTTTAGAGGCAGATACACATAAAAGCATTTGGAGTATTATTAACCAGATCTGTGAAAAACTGTTTTTATGGGTCATGTATAGTAAACATACCTATTAACAAGAGCATATCTTGAAAATTATTTTATCATACAGTAACAATAACTGCCAAATTACCTGTTTTCCTTTTTTTTGTTTGTTTTTTTGAGACAGGGTCTCACTATGTAGTTGAGACTGACCTGTAACTCACTACGTGGCCCAGGCTGGTCTTGAACTCACAGTGATCCTCCTGCCTCAGCCTCCCAAGTGCTGGGATTACAGGCGTATACTATTACTCTCAGCTTATGGTTTTATTTATTTGGGGGGATTGCAAATTACCTATCTATAAGTCAGTGTGATAATGTGATCTTATTTTTCTAAAACACAGCAAAAAATGAGGAAGTAAACAAAAAAAGAAGCCTTGGAAGAGCTATAGTAGAGGTCACAAAATCAGAGTACTAACACTTCGCAGAACAACCAATCAGAGCTTTACCCAGATATGAACCATAAAGTTAAAATAACCTTGACACAAATCTTTCTCATTTAGAAGCTGAATAATTTGGGACCAAATTGCTTCATCTCTCTGAGTTTTAATTTCCTCATCCATAAAATAGATGATAATTGTCACCTCCAGAGATTGTTGATGAGATTTTTGAAATGAAATAATGGATGTAATACATAGATGTTAATTTTAAAATACTTTTATTATCACTGTTAATACTACCATCCTAGTAATATAATTATTACTACTGCACTTTCATTGCCATAACTAAAGCCAGATTTTTGTCTTGAAATGTTAGGGAAGCCACAGGTGAAAAAAAAAAAAAAACTAGGGGGAAGAAAACAAATGAAAACTATAGAAACACAGCAATGAAGAGTTATGTTTTATAGAAGAAAATAGCCAATAGTACCTTTGTGATCTAACATCACTGTATTGACAGTTATATTAATGATGGCTATAAATCATCAAAAATAGCAAAATTATAAGAAAATGAATGAGTGATCCCTTTTTGAAAGATCAACCTGCAAAAATGGTAAAAATAATAATTTGGATAAACTACATACACAAATATTATATGGTTTCTCTTAGATGAGAAATCCAAAATATAAATAAATCAAAGAGCAAAATAAAACATAGATAATAGGAAACAGGAAGACAGATCTTTCACAAATGGGAAGGGGACCAAGAGATGTTGGAGGAGGGAGAAAAGGAAGGGGATGTAGGAGGAATTAAGATGTGTCACAAACCTCTACCAACTACCCACAATGAATGTATTCATTACATACCACAAACATGTACTAATAAATAATACTAGCAATAACAATAATTTGAGTGCTTAAAAGGATACATTTTCACCTATATGGAAGTTTCAGTATTTCCTAAGGATTCTGCATTGCTTTTTGTTTATATAATGAGGATAATTAACAGAAAAAGATCACTTTTCACTGTCCACTGCTTCTGTGCTACTCACCTCTCCCATCTCCCCATGATAAGAGTTCAAGTTAGAATCTTAAGTATAATTTGATAATACTTTTAATTACTATTGTTTTAATTTTGTTCTGCCTGTGGTATTTTATTTATTTGGATATTTCTTTTTGTTGTTGTTGTTTCGTTTGTTTGGTACCGGGGATTGAACTCGGGGCCTTGTGCTTGCAAGGTAGGCGGTGGAACCACTGAGCTAAATCCCAGCCTTTATTTGGGTATTTCAAAAGCTCTTTTTATATTAAGGATATTTTTATGTAAGTGGCTGAGTATAGTTTTAAAAGGATAAATATTTATCTTAAACAGTAAGCAGTTAAATATGTATTATCAGGTCATTTTCTGATAATGAGAGTAATTATTGTAAATCTCCAGCAAAAATATACAGATGTCATTAACTGGAAGCAGGGGCCAAGCGAAACCAGGTGTGGTGGTACATGCCTGTAATCCATGCATTCAAGAGGCTAAAGCTGGAGAATTCCAAGTTTGAGCCCACCTGAGCTCTATTAGCTGTTGTTTCAAAACAGGAGAGAAAAAGGACTGGGGGCTGGGCATTTAGCTCAGTGGTTCCGCCGGCTACCTCAGAAGCGCAAGATCCCAAGTTCGATCCCTGGTAGATCAGTACAAAAGCCCTGAGTTCAATTTCCAGTACAAAAAAAATAAATAAAAAGCCGGGGGGGGGGGTTTGAGAAACTTGGAAACCAGAATTTGGAGTATGTTTCTGTGGCACTGTCAAGAAGAAAAAAAAAGAGTTAAGTTATAGAAAACCAAGAAATTTAGTCACACATAAATCAAAGGTGCTAAAAACTAATTTATTTAAATGTTCCCAAAATGCTTCAGAGTATAAAGTTTTAAAGGCAAATCAATAGAAAAGTGTCCTGTATAGTAAGTGATATGACTGGGTAGCCACAAATAAGGAGCACTTAATATACTTGTTAGGTTACCTAGCACTCACTAACAAGTAACCTCTTTTTTCCTCTTTAGCCTGCCAACAACATTTGCAACTTTGGATATTGATGGTGTAAGAAAAATTATTTTTGCACTACCAGGTAAGAATCATAGAAATTATTTTCTGCTTTTTATGGAAAAATGACCAAGGACTTTCTGGACTTCTTACATGACCATTCCCTGATTAGATCAAATGTTTTGGATTCTGAAAGACTTGGACTCAAGACTCAGCTTTACTAACAGATCACTTACCTTCTCTAAGGATATGTCTTCACCTATAAAAATGGGATTAATGCCTATTTCACAGGATGGCATGAAAATCAAACAAGATACTATCTGCCAAAGCACGTTCCAAAACCTAAGATGATAATTAAATGTTGGCTATCACTAGATCTTTCCAGGACACCTGCCTTTTCAACTTCCAGGAAATGGATCAATTAGCAGTGTAATCACCTCTCACAACTAGAAATATTGTGCTCAAGGGTCCATAGAGCCTTGAATCACCTGTGTAAGTATTAGATTAAAAAAACTTAGAGCTAGGGATAGGACTTGGCTAACATGCATAAGGCTCTGGGTTTGATTCCCAGTGCCACAAAAAATAAAAGTTCAAAGCTGCCTCAATCCTTTCCAGATTTGAGGTGGCCTTGAAGAGGGAAAGTGGGAAGGAGGGGTTACCCACACTGGTACGGCTGAGCCATGGCCCTCGCTTTATCAGTGTGACAGCTTCCCCATCACTACCCTTGCTCCCATGTGAGTGGAAACTCACATGTTGAGATTGTAGGAAAAGCAAAATGGTTCGTTTTACATGGATTTTCAAATTCAAATTTATTATTTTTGGCCATGTATTTAAGGTCATTATGAATTGTGTTAAATTTCAACGCGGTTTAGGACTTTTGTGTAGCTGCTTGTTATTTTTTAACTTTTAAAAGGATCCTCTAATAATTCTTTACTAATTCTTATTTTTTTAGCACAGAATCCTTCAGAATTAACCTACTTATTCCTTTCAGAGCCACAAATCTCATAGGTTTGGGATATTTGCTTTTTAAGAAAAATCTCAAAATAAAACAAAGAAATAGAAGCCACCGGAACATTTTTAAACTAACATTTTTAAGCTCGTACTAGCATAAAAGAGATATTCATCATGCAGAAAATATTGAGGGAATATGTAAGTAAAATAATCCTCAGAATGTATTATATCTTGAGCCAAGGATTTATTTAGCTCAGTGGTTCTGCGCCTGCCTTGTAGGCCCAAGGTCCTGAGTTCAATCCCTGTTACCACACACACACACACACACAAATGTATTTTATCTGTATCATAAAACTCCTTCATCAAATTTAATATGTTTTTGGACACTCTGAAAAACATTTTATGAAGAAAAGACTATTTTGTCTTAACTTAGCATGCAGATTATCAGTGACAGTACAGCAATGAAGGTTATTGTGGGAACCTCTTTCACCATTAATTATGAAACAATCTAAGAAATTATAAAGTTAAAATCAATCTTCAAATTGTTATTTTTTATTCAAAACCTTTTCTGCTCAGACTGAATAAACCAAAAGAGGGCAGCAACAACTCACGTGTTCTGATTACAGAACCAGCAAACTGATTCGCATTACAAGGTGTTGTTGGGTTTCTTTTTGAGGATTGTTTTGGTTTGGTTTTTTGGTTTGGCTGGTTTGGTAGTGCAGATGGAACCCAGGGTCTCATGAATGCTAGGCAAGTATTCAACCACTGAGCTGTATCCTCAACCCCTAAGGACTTTAGTTTCTAAAGTGTTTTACTGCTTTCCTTGAGTACATGTATTTGAAGATTATCACTAATCTTGATGCACTTTAGACAATTGAAAAATTTTATGTACTTGCTATTTTTTAATTTGCAAAATTACTGTAGCAAAATATATTGAGTACAAAAACATTGGAAATATAGATAAGCATAAAGTAATGTTGTCCAAAAACCCCACCTACACAAAAATAACCACTATTTACAACATTTTGATATCATTCCTTGTAGTCCTTTATCTTATACAGAACAGTTCCTTTTTAAAAAATATTTTATTCTAAAAGTTTTTTTTTTAATTTTTAGGTTTTCAAAGCACCGTATTATAAGCCCGACTTGGTTCAGATCTTGGTACAGCCATAAAGCAATACCCACATATTGAATATAGCCTTGAGTATAGGCTTTGGGGTAATTCACGTAATAGCAGGGGCAGTGCCAAATGCTTCCCCTACCCAGGCAAGTAAGAGATAGGCTGTACAGCAAGCCTCCTCGTGTACGCAAGATATTACAGGAATCACAATGTTAATAACTGTGGTGTTTGGCCTTTCTGTAATTGTAGCACACTATTTGATGTTGATATTTCTGCAGCCTACTTAACATACTTAACATTAAATGAATTAGCAATACTGGCATCACAACCACCGAAATATCACACTGTTCCTTGTAGTCTTTCGAAGCACCTTGCTCTGCTCGCCTGTCACCCTCAAAACTGCGTTATTGAACAGTAATTTTATAAGACAGTAATATTACAGGAATTTTGCAATCACTGATATTTTGAGGCAAGGGAAAAGTAATTGATTCTCCTTAAGAATCTGCTGTTCTGTTATATAAATTTTTCCATTGAAATTATCAGTATCACTCATTACTTTTTTGGTACTGGGGATTGAACTCGGGACCTTGCACGTAAGAGGCAGGTGGCAGAACCACAGAGCTAAATCCCCAGCCCCCTCACTCATTACTTTCCACAATTTAAAAATCAATTCTTAGGTCAAGGATTTAGCTCAGTGGTACCGTGCCTACCTCACAAGAACAAGGTTTCAAGTTCAATCCCAGTATGCAAAAGAAAATCAATTCTTAACTATTTTTGTGAACAAAAAAGAATTAAATATATGGTTTTCTAATAGGATAAAAGTTTACCTTTTACTCTGATGATGAAATTAGCAGTTCTTAAGTCAAAGAAACTTAAAAACTAAAAAAAAACCTATTCCCCCAACATCTATTGGTACATATGTATTCACATACAACTTATGAAAGAATGAATAAAATTAAAATTTTAGAACCTGAAGAGATTCTAAAAATCTTGAGTCCAAACCCTTCATTTTTGTAAATAAGTAAAGTTAGAATCAAAAAAGGTTGAAACTTGCCCAATTTGTACAGTTTGATTAATTAATACATTTAAGCAACCAAATCTTTTATTCATGCCCAGTTTTGTTGTTGTTGTTGTCGTCGTTGTTTTTCATATCCCACCCTTCCTCCCAAGAAGTTCATGTCACACCTAGATTTCTTCTTGGAGAGGTACAACTGAATTTCTCAAATTCTTGTAACTATAAAAGAATTTAAATCTAGGTGTGGTAACACATGCCTATAATCCCAGCACTCTGGGAGGCTGAAGCAAATTTGAGAGGATCACAAGTTCAAGACTAGCCTGAGTGGGTCCGGGGATTTAGCTCAGTGGTTCTGATGCCTGCCTCGCAAGCGCAAGGACCGGAGTTCGATCCCCGGTACCAAAAAAATCAGTAAAATTAAAAAGGCTAGCCTGAGCTATTTAGTGACTTAGCAAGACCCTCTCTCAAAATTCAAAACAAAAACAAAAACGAAGAGAACTGGGATATAGTTCAGTATAAATGCCCTGGGTTCAATCCCCCATTTTCTCCCCCCTCCAAAATAAGATAACAAGATAGAGAAGGAGAGAGAGAACTTGATGTTTGTGGCAGTCTGTTACAACTGCCATAACAATACCACAGAATAGGTAGCTTAATAAAAATTAATTTTATCATAGTCTGGAAGCCAGAAGTACAAAATCAAGGGGCCAGCAGGGTTGTTCTCTAGTGAACCTTTCTTCCTAGCTTACAGAAGGCCACTCTCTTACCATATCCCTACATGATCTTTCCTCTGTATGTACACACTTCTGGTATCTCTTGCTCTATATAAAAACATCAGCTCTGTTGGTTTAGACCGGAAGACCTATGTCTTCATTTGACTTTACTCCTCTCTTTAAAGGCCCTATCTCCAAATATAACCACACTGGGGGTTAAGGCTTTCTCACATGAATTAAAGGAGATACAGAGCAGGGATATAGCTCAGTGGTACCATGCCTGCCTGGAAAGCACAAGGTCCTTAGTTTGACTCCCATTACCAAAAGTAAATAAATAAATAAGTGAGACACAATTCTGTCCATAACAGTATGCATCTTCAGGTCCTTCACATCTTAATTCATTTGGTGTTTTTTTAATTTAAAGAAATTTCTGGGTAGAGATAGTTATGGATAAATTTCCTTATGTTTATCTATACTTTCTAATTTTTGGTACCAAGCTTTTAGTACTACAGTAATTTTTAAATGTATTAAAAATAACAAGAAGATATATAAAACATTTAACCTCTTTAAAACTTAACAAATTAAGAGACACATGCTCAGTGGTAGAGTATGTACCTAGCGTAAAGGCCTGGGTTCAATCACCTTCACTGAAAGGCGGGGGGATTAGTAATAGCTTTCAACATATGTCTGTCAGGAAAGCAGAAATAGTGTCAAACAGCTTCTAGGTATCACAGATTTCTCTATTATATTGAAAGTCCCAAATGTTCACATCATCTGTGACATTTGGTCAACTATTTATGTATTCTGTTATCCTCTTGAATTCAAGGTGATTCTTAAGAGGAAACACTAGTAGTTGGTTATTTGCATCACATTCTGTGATACCTGAAGGTATGGACAGATGTAACTATTTGGCAAATTTTTATTGACAGACTGTAAATAACTGCTTGGTTGACTTTCAGGGAATCCTGTATCAGCTGTGGTCACCTGCAATCTCTTTGTTGTGCCTGCACTGAGAAAGATGCAGGGCATCTTGGATCCTCGGCCAACCATCATCAAAGCCAGGGTAATGCTTTCTAATAACCAGAAACCAAATAGAAGCCTGATAATAATTAAGGATCTGGATTCTCTAACTGCCCAAAATAAAAATGTAGGATTTTATATCAGTTTTGATAGCAAATGTAGTATTTTCCCTTCTATAATAAAAAATGGCAAGGAAAAGTTCAGTTTTATTCCCTCATGTCACTTCTAATCATTTTTTCCAGCTAGAAGTTCATAAAGAAGTCCAGGGAGTAAGGATTAAACTTTAAATGGATATTTAAGAACAAAGCAGTGAATAGAATGAAGTTGGCACCTTAACACTGGGCCTATATAGAATGAAGGACAAGAATTCTGTTTCCCAGTGTAAACTCACAGAGAACAGCAATTAACCTGCTCACTTTTTCTGAGATTCCCATTGATAAATTTCAAATAATTAAAGAACAGATAATCAAAAAACTAGAAAGAGAACTAGAAAGAACTAGAAGAGAGTGCTTCAGGAGCAGGGTGACCCTATATTTTTTAGAAAAGAACTACTAAGACTGAAGAATTCTACCTACAGTAAAAGTCAATTGGAAATTAGAGTCCCTTTCTCCACCAACACTACTTAATTTAACTTACTGCTCTATTAATTATATCATACACATTCTAAATTACTGATATGCAACTTTCATGATAATATAAACTACAGGATCAAACCACTTTTCAAAAGTTCTGAAATATATTCATTGACCTTCTAAATAGAGACTGTGGACTAATAGATAAAGACACCTTTCCTTAAGATTTTATTAAAGAATCAGCTAGGTTTTTTTTTTCCAACCATCATATTAATGGTCTTATAGGAGATTAATTTGAAAAGAAAAAAAGGCATCAGTGAACAAAAGTATTCTGATCAAGCCAGAAGGTCAGAGTCCTAAGGCTTAGGTTGAGACAGTGATATTGAATTTACTGAATTAAAGGAGTAAGAAAAATCCACACTGTTGTAAGAGAGACTTCTCTTTGACTCTGAAAAGTTCTTATGAATCCTTTCATTTATTTTTCATTTTAACATCCATCATCTTCTCCTTCAGACTGACTTCATGGCAAGCCATCCATTCTGACAGCATTGATGAGGTCACTCTGTGATCAAACTGGCACTTGATACTCGTTCATGTGCTGCCCATTTCCATTCAGTTCAGGAAACTGAGAACTCATCTAAGAACCAAATGCCTTTTTCTTACAGTTGCGTTGTTGGAACTGCCAGCATGGGTCACCCATATATTTGGCTATTTGTCCCTTTTGTTTTTCACTCTATAAATCACCCACCCACCTTCACGGACAGTCACTGCTGCTTCAGTGCACTGCTCACTTTACTTGAGGCATGGCAAATCTTACCTCTGTTCTGAGGCAAGGTACAGCTCGCAGATACCACTTACTACTGCTCTTCAAAATAGATGCCACACAGCCATGCGTGGTGGTATATGCCTGTAATCGTAGCACTCAGGAGGCTGAGGCAGGAAGATCGCTGTGAGTTTGAGACCAGCCTGGGCTACATAGTGAGTTCCAGGTCAGTCTCAACTACATAGTGAGACCCTGTCTCAAAAAAAACAACAAACAAACAAAAATAGATGCCACCGCCTGATGCTGATTTGGGGAAATGGGGTGGATGTTGAAAACTAGTGTTAGCTGAACACTGCTGAACTCTATTACAACCATCTTATGGGTAGAGCAATGTTTCATTATTTTAGAGAGATCAGCCCAGAAAATGTGATCCTTTTTAATCAAAGCACTCAGAAGAGCATCAATTTAAAATAAATATTTCCCATGTGGTTGGAGTAGAAATACTTCTGATTTTCAGTACAAAATCAGAAACAGAATTGTACATTTACCAAATAGCATTATTGACTCAGTGTTTCCACAGCAGGACATTCTCTTTTTTTATTAATTGTATGAAAAATATAAAACAAAATGTCATAATCGCACTGTATAGTTATTTGTTTGTTTGTTTATTTTTGAGACAGAGTCTTGCTCTGTAGTGCAGGCTGGCCTCAAACTCATGATCCTCCTGCCTCACCTTTACAAGTCCTGAGATTACAGGTCATTATCTTCTGTCATGTTTCCTTAATATCCAGTCAAAGTACTCTCTACTGTCCTGTTCTCAGTTTCTTCCCTTCTTCCCTCCTGAGGTAATTCCCATCTGTATTAACAGTTTGCCTTAGGTAGTGATGGAGAAGCAAAAAAGGGGAAAACACATTCCTCTCCCATGAGCTAGCCAAATCCTGAGACCTATGTGCCTTTTGGGTCTCTAGTGCATTGCTCTAATTCACCTGCCTTTGCGCTTCCTTTCAGTACTCCTAGCTCTGCACAGTGGAAAAGCTTGACAGATACTCTGACTGATGACACAAACAGCCAAGTAGAAAGCATTTCAACAAAATGCTTATATTGTTTGAAATTGTTAAGGTGTTTGCAATTGTAGGGGGAAATGTGATTATTTAATGTGATAAGATCAATGATCATTAAAAGACGTGGGGATGTCTCTTACTTGAGACTATGATGGCCTGTGGATTTAAAATAAGGATATTTATCTGGGCATGGCAGTGCCTGCCTATAATCCTAGTATTTAGGAAGCCTAGGCAGGAAGATCACCATAAATTCATGGCCAGTTTGGTAAAAAACAAAATAAAATAAAACAAATTATAAATATTTAAAATGACAGTACTGCCGATTTCAAGAAATGTACATTGGTTTTAACATATTAGAAAATAATTAAAACTAGCTGGGCATGATGGCGTGCACCCATAATCCCAGCACTCTGGAAGGCTAAAGGAGAAAGATCACAAGTTTAAATCCAATGTGGATAATTTAGCAAGACCCTGTCTCAAAATAAAAATTAAAAAAAAATTAAAAGGGCTGGGGATGTAGCTCCGTGTGAAAGCCCTGGGTTCAATCCCAAGTCCTGCAAATTAATTAATTAATTTTATAAAGAAATAAAACTAGGCTAAAGAGCTTTGGACACTTTTGAAAATGATCCATATCAGCCTATGTATGATTTTAAGTTATGTGGTAAATTTTAAACAGATTATTTATGGGGTAAACATGCTCAAGGGCCTCTGTGGTTATCTGATGAAAACAATGCCTCATAACTTTTATAGCACTTATCATAAAAGTGTGATGAGGCTCCTTTAACCACTCTTTGGAAGCTTCAACCAGACTCCAGCTGAGATGCAGCCTCAGCACTGCCATGTGCCTCTATCCAGACAGAATCCCCTTTGGATATCTGTTGTCCCACAAACTCTCCTTCAGACTGTGGATCTCTCAGGCCAGACTTTCCCTGAATCCTCTGGGATTCACCCAGCCCCTTCACTGTCATCAAACGTCCCACAAACCATTCCCTACAGTTATTGAGGTCTTTGGCAGTTGTTTAATAGTGTTCCTCTCTACCTTACCTCTGCCCTTCAGTTGTTTACCTCCATAATTCTAACTCTTATTTCTACTTCAGCAATTCACATGTACACCCTTTTCCGTATCCTAAACTGTTCCATCTCAGACAGAAATCACCAACTTTAGTATGTCACTTAGGAATAATGGCAAATTACTTGTCAGCAGACATGAAATGTAGTGTAAAACCTCACTCCTATGACCTCTACTTGTTTTCCTTTAGCCCATAAGCCATTATTTTCCTCAGTCCATAAGCCACTTTGGGTCACAACTTTCTTCAGCCAGACCAAACCCTGTGGTATGTATGTGATACCATACACAGCTTTTTCCGGTAGTCAGCTTTTTTTTCCTCTTCTTCTTTCTGTTTTAACACACTCAAAGGATCCACAGACTTGACTCAGTCTTCTTTCTTTGTCCTTCATTTTTATTCCAGACCACTAAGCACGATGAAGAAAAGCATACACCTATTCCAATTATCACTTTATCAATTCAGTAGGAGTCAAAGCTCACTTTACCTGTATTTTTATATATTATGGACTAACTCTATTCTTTACTGTAATCTTCTACATCACCATTTTTCTGAAACTACCTCCCCCATCAATATCTTCTGAGTTTTGAAGCCAAATAAGCCTGGGTTTGAATGATGGATCCAACATTTACTAGTATTACAACTTTTGGCATATTTAATGACTTCCCTTCTCATCTTGTCTCCTCTTAAATCTCTTTTATGTCTAACTCTAATAACCTATTTCCAATTAAAATCCTTCGGTGCTTCCTATGATACCAGGATTAAATCCAAACTCCTCAAAAAGGCATAGAAGACCCTCTTGCCCAAGGTTTTTCTTCTCCATCTTCCTATCCCACACTCTAACCATATCAAGCTATGTGCAGCTTCCAGAATGAACTTGAAGTTCCTCCCAATTTCTTTGTTTCTTCTCTTTCATGGTTCCTTCTTCAGCCACTACCATTTCCTTTCTTAGCTTGATAAATTCCACAGTTCTGAGATTCAGACATCATGTCTCCTATGAAGCCTTTCTCAGAGATACTTTGAGGTTACTTCTCTGTAAAAGGAACAAGACAAAGAGAAGACACAGTATTTTACCATCAATAATAAATTAATGATTTATTAATTAATATTAATGTTAATTAATTAATTTATTAATTTGATGATTTGTTAATAAATCAATAAAATTTTCTGTTAAATCGCTTCTGGGTTCTTAACAAAGTTGAGGGAAAAGAACAAAGAGTTCCTATACATATACCCTGTCTATATACATACCCAACCTCCCCCACAATCAACATGTGACACCTGGATAGTACCTTTGTTACAACTGATATCTACATTGACATATCATCAGCTAGAATCTACAGTTTTACATTCTGATCCACTCTTGGTGTTGTATACAAATGGTGCTTTCACAAATGTATAATGCCATTGCAATATCATACTGAATAGTTTCACTGTCCTAAAAATCCTTTGTACTCTGCCTGTTCATTCCTCCCTCTGACTACCACTGTCAGCCGTTGATCATACTGTCTCCATAGTTTTAGGTTTTTCAGAATATCATATAATTGGAATCATATAGTATGTAACCTTTTCAGATTTACTTCTTTCACTTATTGATGTACATTTACTTTTCTTTCATGTATTTCATAGCTCATTCTTCTTAATGCTGAATACTATGTCATTGTCTGGATATACTACCATTTATGTATACTTATTACTTACTGAAGGACATCTTGGTTACTTCCAAGTCTTGACAGTTTTGAATAAAACTGTTATAAACATCCATGTACAGGATTTTATGTACATATAAGTTTTCACTTCATTTGAGTAAATGCCAAGGTACGTGATTGCTGGATTGTATGGTGAAATTATGTTTATCACAAACCATTAAATAGTCTTCTAAAGAGGCTGTTACCATTTTTGGCTTCCACAATCAATAAATCAGAGTTCCTTTTGCTCTACTTCCTTGTCAGCATTTTGTATAAGTGTTTTAGACTTTTGCTCTTCTAGTAAATGTGTATTGATATCTTATTGTTTTAACATGCAATTTCATAATGACATGATACTGAGGATCTTTTCATATGCTTGCTTATTTTCCATCTGTATAACTTCTTTGGTGAAGTGTTTGTTGAGGTCTTTGACCCATTTTTTGAAATTGGATTATTCATTTTCTTATTGTTAAATTTTAAGAATTATTTGAATATTTTGGGGCCAGGGATTTGGTTCATTTGTTCCACTGCTTACCTTGCAAGCACAAGGGCCCAAGTTCAATCCCCAGTACCTCCCCGATAAAGGTAGACAAGAATTATTTGTATATTTTGAATACATTCCTTTATCACCTGTATCTTATGTGAACTTTTTCTCTCAGTCTACGGCTTGTCTTCTCATTCTCTAAACATTTTTTTTTTTTTGGTACGGTGAATTGAACTCACAACCTTGTGAGGCAGACACGGTGCCACTCAGCTAAATTCTCTACCCTCCCTAGACTTTTAAAAAACTAATTATCTCCCATAAACATTTGCATATAGACTATAACATATTCTACAACAAATAATATAATTGTTGCTCTTGAGTGATTACTATTAGGTGAATATTCAACGAAGCCAGAGAAAATATATCTAGTCCACAGTCTATTGCCCAATTTTTAGTGAATGAGATAAGTCCTTTGAAATTAAACATCAACCAGTTATAATTCTTTATTCACCGAAAAGTATATGTCTACATTTATGCAATTAATCATTTTTAAAGTATTTAAGCTCATACTAAACAAGTGCTTTCTTCAATGAACCAATGTAATAGACCAGAATAACTATGTCAGAACAAATAAATATCTTGATTAATAAAGTATTTTGACTGGGCGTGGTGGTACACACCTCTAATCCCAGCAGTCAGGAGGCTGAGCTAGGAAGAATGCTTTAAATTTGAGGCCAACCTGAACTATATAGCAAGACCCTGTCTCAAAAAAAAAAACAAAACAAAAAATGTATTTTGTAAAATTCCTCAAAAATCTAATCTGTTTCATTTCTAGCTGCAAAACAAATAGCTCTTTGTGAAGAGGCTATGAAAAATTTTGATTCACTGTAATTTGATGCACTTGACATTTGTTTCTTAAATTTTCATGAATGTTTTCCTTTAAAACAAAATAAAATTTATTTTTAGATTCACTAGAAAATAGCACCTTCTAAATGTTAGTATCATAAAGCTTGAAGATATTGTAGCTATTTTGTAACCTAACCTTATTTTGTAGATGAACAAACAGGTATAGGAAAGCAAATATTAGACCATTATCAGTAATGCTGGGAGAAGAACCTAGGTTTCTGATATCCCAATTCACTGCTTGTTACACTGTACCACCATGAACCAATCAATGCCATTGTTAGGGGAAAACCTTCTTGAGACACTATTAAATAAAACAGTATTGAGGTCTGGGAGGGTGGGTCAGTGGTAAAGCACTTGCCTAGCATGCCCTGAGTTCATTCTCTAGCACTGCAAAAAAAGCAAATAGAGCAAAACATTCATGTGAGTGGCTTCTTATAGTTTAGTGCTGAGGAACTCGAGGAAACACACACACACATTGAGAGAAGCATAGAATGATTTAAGAATAATGGTATTACCCTACCAGTACATATAAATATAAGCAATATCTAGTGAAAATATTTTGTGTTGAGTAGCTGAACAGTGCCTAATGAATATTAGGTGCTGTGTAAGTATTTACTAGGTGGATGGGTAAATGGATTCTGGATTCATCTGTGTTTGTTCAGGTCTTTATTTTCAATATTGAGAGAACTACTTCAAAGATCAGGGGCCTCTGTCCTCAGAATCCCTAAAAGTAGGCTTCAGACCTTATCTTTCTCATCTGTCCTTTCTCCTACTACAGACAATGGCTTCTTAGCCTTCTTTTCTCTTTTTGATAGAGCAACTCAACCCCTGGACTTCATGGACTAAAAACATATGGTAAAAGTGATGGGAACAGCAGAATACCAAGAATGTTTTCCAGACCCACTATGTTCTCCATTCAATCTCCACTACTTTGTAGTTTTGAGAAATGATCAAGCGACCAAGTTTACTTTCATTTCTTCTTTATTCTGTAGTTATCATGTGATGTAAAACTGGATCCTCGCCCAGAATACCATCGGTGTATACTGACCTGGCATCACCAAGAACCACTGCCTTGGGCACAGAGTACAGGTTAGTCATTGCAGGTGTCCCTCTTCACTCACTCTGAACAAAGCCTTCTGTTTATACTGAATTTTGTAATTATTATACGCTTTCTTCTTTTTGAAAGTTCAAATGAGCTAAATTATTTCTACATAGTGTAGCATAAAAGGACAAGACTTTAAAAAAATAGTTATGTCACTGAGCCACATTTTCCAGATAAACACTTGAAATACAAATTTAGAATTACAGTGAAATAAATAAGTCACACATGTGTAAATACCGAATAGTTTCTCTGGTGTGAAAAACTATAATAGTACATAAGATCCTAATGATATAATGGACAGTGTGAAATAGGAAGAAAAGGGCTAAAGGCACAGGGAAAATAGGAAGGGTAGGGGAAAGGTAATAAGGGAAAATAAAAAAATATGAGAAAATGAAAAAATGGAAATAAAGTGTAAATGGGGAGGGGGGGTGAAGGGAGTTCAGGGATAAGGGAGAAAAAATGAGAACCAAGACCTGTCATGCAAAGATACAAGATCCCAATGATGAATATAACTGTACTATATACCTAAAATGTCCCAATAAACTCAATGAGAGGAGGAAAAAAAAAAAACAAATTCAGAATTACATAAGATTTTGATATGTTAGTTTAAGCAATTTTCTGGGCATAACTTTATAGGAAAAAGATGACCCTATGGCTATGTCATCCTAAAATGCGAGATAAAGGCTTAATTTACAATATGATGCCTGTAGACTTTGTTATGCTCTAGATATTGGTAAAGTTTAGGGGCAGAAAAATCCATATTGACAATTTAGACTTCAAAAGTAGAGAGAACAACTTCACATAGATCAGGGACCTCTGTCCTCACAACCCATAAAAGTAGGCTTCAGACCTACTGTTTTGCATCTGACATTTCTCTCATACTGGCTTCTTAGAGCCTCTTTTCTCTTTTCACCAGAGCAACTCAGCCCCTAGACTTCATGGACTAAAAACATAAGATGAAAGTGGTGGAAACAGTAGAATGCCAAGAATATTTTCCATGCCCACTATATGTTCTCTGCACTGCTCTAGAACTTAAACATTTACCCTCAACTTCTGTAGTCGTATTTTCCTAAACTTTAAAGCAACTCCACAAAAATTGTACTAGCCTTTAAACAAAGGTCCTATCAAGTGCACACATCAACTAACATAGTGACTAATGGGTTTTGCCATCCATGAGACCTGCATTTAAACTAATCCCAACCTAGCTAGAATGACCCCAAGCAGATTATCTAAGATTTCTTTTAATTTTGTGAGACTCAAATAAGATTTTAGGTAAAGTGACTAGTACATTATCTAGCACTTAGTAAAAAAATGGTAAGTCCTACTATTATTATCTGTATTGTATTATATATAGGTTTTTAAACCTCTCTTTTCAGGCACATATTTCAGGCTGAATTAAGAAGTGTTGTGACATTTTGAGCAATGCTATAAAATCCTGATTTTATTCCTTTAAACAAGAATTTCTAATGTTTGTTCTTAAAGTGAGAAGGTGTAGGATATAATATACCAGCTACCTAAGAAAAGTACCAGGAAGTCTGATCATCTCTCTTCCTCTTGAAATCCTGCATTTCTGTTTATCAGTTTTTGTGTTGACAAAGTCTGCATGGGCTCCAGATGTGTATACCATAATGCTTATGTGGCTGTAATAAGAGTATTTCTTTCCAGGTAATCAGATGAGCAGCCGTCTGATGAGTATGCGCAGTGCCAATGGATTGTTGATGCTACCTCCAAAGACAGAGCAGTATGTGGAGCTCCACAAGGGCGAGGTGGTAGATGTCATGGTCATTGGACGGCTATGATGGTCACTAGCAGGAGAAAGCTTTGATGCATGTCCACATATCATTGACTGTATCCTGTAATATGCAACGGCACAGCTAGTTTTTCTGATTTGGATAAAAGTTGATCTGTATAGTCAACAATTTGAACTATATTTCAAATGAATTTCAATACCTTTTAAAGAAAAAAAAAAACCTAAGAATAAATCTTAGACAACTCTATTCTGATTATATCAAAGCAAATTTTTCCTTTCTTGCAAATTGCTTTGTGTGTTCAATGCTAGGTCTGATAGCGATAGATTTTAGTAGACAGCAGTAGGTGCCTGCAAAACTTGTGTTTTTCTCATCTTTAAAATACTTATGCTCTTAAATCAAGGCTGTCTGCTTATTTATACTAGTGTAGGAAACACTTGGATTTCCCTTCTTAGTATGCTTCATAACTGCTTTAAGGAGAGCTTTTGCTTGTTCTTTACCATATATCTCGTGTTTATGTGACTGTGCCAAAAGGAGAGTGACTGGGTAGAGGCCCTGTCTGCCTCAGGAACAGTCCCCTGCAGAAAGTCAGGGATGTTACTCACCCTCATAGCCTTGTGGCACAGTACTCTTGGGCAGTAAATGGATACCTTTTATTTTAACAAACTGGGGGAAAATGCTTCCTTAAGTGCTGACAGCCTTTTTAACCAATACATTTAAAATTGTACAGAAAAAAAAATCAAAGACTGATCTTGTACAGATATTAGTGTTACCAGCATTCATGTGGAAATCAAGAGCAAAGAGAAAATAATGTTAAACAACTCTGTACCATAACATTTTCTGTAATGATACTGAAACTTAATGAATAAAAAAATCCTTGATCACCTTGATCATTATTTAAAAATTTATTGTGTTGGCCTTGTTATTTTAAAAATAGGATTTTCATGCCATTCTGTTAGAGATCTGTTTGGATAAAAGTAATAGTTAAGATGGTCTACCAGAGTTAAAGCATAGGAGGGAGAGTTAAAGTACAGTATGACTCTATAATTTACCATACAATTTAGGAGAAATAACCCAATCTATAGCACTGTGAAAAAAAGTGTATTAAAAAGTACAAGAACCAACAGTTAGGCTGGTCTTTTGGATTGTGGCTGCAAAATAATGAGCATATTTAGAGGAAAGGTACTAGATTTAGAAAAAAAATTCTATTTTAGATGCCATAAAATCAAATTCCAAATATTTACAGTTTTTTTTCATTAAGGAAAAAATAAGTAATGACCAGAAATTTTCAGGTGAGTGCATGAAATTTTTCCTTTACTGTGTTTGAAAAGTGGGGAAAATCTATGCTGGCTATTGAAAATAGAGCAAACATACTTTACTTAGAATATCTCTTTAATAAAACCTAAGAGATACTTTTCAAATGGTGCTAACAAAAAGTATATGCTGTAAAACGTGCTTACTAAAGCAAACTATGGAAATCTGCATACTTGAAAACAAGGTGCCAAATTATAGTGATAAAGTTAAGTAGCAACAAATATTTGGTACTGATATATGACAATTCTAGAGTTAAAAATGAAATGTTCTACTTTTAATTTCCTTCTGCATGTAAAATTGAAAAAAAGATTTCTCAAAACACATCAAATAAAAGCATATGCAGAGTTCTTTACCCTACATTCATTCAAGAAATATTTATTAAGCATCTACCATGTGCTTGAGTGCAAAATATATCATGCTGATATTTACAGAAATAAATAGGGCAGAGTAGCTATTACACTCCATCAGAGACAACAAAAATGTGAAAGTCACCATAATATATATGTATTTGATTAAGATATTAAGGAGGATATTCCAAAAATAGAGAATTATACAAATTATATTTTTATTTTGTTTTGTTTTGTTGAGACAGGGTCTCACTATGCAGTTCAAGCTGGCCTTGAACTCACTATGTGGCCCAGGCAGGCCTCAAACTTGCTGTGATCCTCCTTCCTCAGGCTTCTGAGTGCTGGAATTACAGATGTATACCACCATGCCCAGCTGAGAATTATACAGTTTTAGTAATCATTATTATAGAAGGTAAGCTCCACAAAAGCAGGGATTTTTATTTATTTTGTTCATTAATATTACCCCAAATCCTTAGAAGAGTTCTTAGTATGTGTACATATGTGTAAGCATCAGTAAATATTTGTTCAGTGAAACATATATGGAGTTCATTATATATCAGGCTCTGTTCTAAACACTTTTAATTTTTCTAACATTACTACAGTTCTTGTTCCTATATGACAGATGAAGAACTTAAGGCACAGCTATCAGGAAAAGACAAGGATTCAAATTTAGCAGTCTGGCTCCAGAGTCCATACTCTTAAGCACTAAGCTGATATAGAAAGTTAATAAGATACGGTAAGACTAAAAAAGTACATATGTAGAGCCTAAACTATAAAGCTTTTGAATACCAAGTTAAGTCTAGATTTATTCTAAAGATATTAAAACTATTAGAGATTTTTAATGAGGGAAGAGTCATGATCAGACCTACCCTTTTAGGGGATATCCTCTGGCAGCATCAACCAGGACAAATGAGACTAGGCAGAGACTAAGGAGCACCAGTTAAGAAGTAATTAAGATTGTGGAGGGAAGGAGTGATGGCGAACCTTTTAAATTTTTCAATGATACAAACAGCCCACTGTGGCCTTTGTGCCATAGGTTCGCCACCACTGGGACAGATGAATGTGCTTCTGGAGAAAAGAATGGAAAAAATCTGATGATTGATTTAAAGTTTTAGAAAGGAAGTTAGTAGATGATTCAGAGTCTTTAGTCTTGGATCACTGAGGAAATATTAAATTATTAGTAAAAAAAGAAAGTAAAAAAGATTTGATGGAGAAGCTGATGAGTTTGGACATGTGTTTGAGATGCCATAGGAGTACTGTACTAAAGTAGCCATGTCCTGTTAGTATTTGAAAGTTGGAGTTCCATTCAAGATGGTGGAGTGGTGAGCAGCAGAGAATCAACCTCTCCAAGATTTGATGTCCAGATGCTGGAATATAGCAATGTGAGGAAGAGAAGAAGGAGGGAAGTGGTTTCCTGGGACTCAGGAAGAATCTAAAGTGAGAAATGAAGCTCACCGGGAGAGCAAAGAGAGAAACCTCAACACAGAAGAAGTAGGTGGTAAGCAGCACTTTCTGCATCAGCCTTGACTCACTGCATAGGAGGGGTGCCTTGAACCTGCAGATGCACCATGACTACTGGCAACCCAGACTTCTCCATGGAGAAATGCACTAGTGGAATGGGGTAGTGCACTCAGCAAACTGCAGTGGTGGTGAATTATTCAGGTTCATATGTCCCCCAGTAGAGGAATGGTAACCATCTTGGCAAGGTCCAACTGAACTGGGAATTCAGAGCAACTGCTGGCTCCACCTAGTGGCTCTCAGTGTCAGGATTAGGCCAAAGTACAGAGTTCAAACCAGCAGGAGACACAAGGAGTGTTACAGACTGAACAAATCAAGTTCCAGCCTCACAGCCAGAAACCAGCCTGAACTTCAGTGGAACTAAAAGTGCAGGCTTGCTGTGATTCCATTACCCCAGTGTAAAGGTATGGCTGCCCTGCTGGAATTAATCAACATGGATCTGGACTATATCTGACTATGTTGTCTACCAGTGACAGCAGAGACATGCCTGAAGTGGACATTTTTTTCTTGTTATTATTTTTATATGAGTATTTCTGGTTTTTTGTTGTTGTTTTTTTTCTGTTCTTGTTTTTATTTCTTCCTTCTCTCTTTCCCTCCTGTCTTTTTCACCATTTTCCCAAACTTTATGTAACTTCCTCCAGCCTTGCTAATTTCTTCCTCCTCTCTTTCTCTACTTTTTCCCCCTAGCCTCTTTTAAATTTTCTCCCCTGAGGATAAAAATCACTATGCTGAGGACGTATTTACTGATACAATTTCTGGTTTGTTTGTTTTTGTTATATAATCATAAATCTAGTTCATATGGTTAAAGGTGACAAATTGTAGTTACCACAACTTGTATTTTCTGGGATGTGTTTGATGCTATTCTTACAGCTGATTATACTTTTTTAGCAAAGCTGACATAACTGTTCTAGTAAGTTCTTCTTGGTATGCCAAGACTGAGGTTGCCTAAGGGCCGTAAATAATATTATAGACCAGTGCCAAAGAACTAGATAAGGCAGCAACTTATCATCCCCAATAAAGATGTAGGATCTTGCAAAAGACTCAAAATCTAGTACACCTGCAAGACATCTCTGAGAAGTAATCATTTCCTAAGTATTATAAATACCAACAAAAAAGCTACTTATTACTTGCCATAAGAAATTTACAAGCATCAACCCAGGGAATAAACTTTTTAAAAAGTACAAAATGAGAAGGTACTTGAGCAAGATGCAACCCGACTTCCAGATCACCAAAGGGGGCAATGAGGTGGAACAAGTAAAAAAAAAACAAAAAAACACTGAAAGTATCAAAGCAGATGAAAGAGGCACTAGAAAAATCATATAAGAAATAATTTCTTAGATAACTACCTAAATGGTGAACTTAGTGAAGATATGCTTAGTGACAATGGAGCAGATACAGATTTTTTTTAAAATAGAGACACTTAGGAAAATGATGGAAACCATTAACACCCAACATGAGAAATCAAATCTGTGACACACATTCAAACAGCTATCCAGAAGATTAAAAAGTTGATTGAAAGTGTATGCAGCAGAATGAGCCATGAGGACAGAATATCAGATATAAAAGACAGGATTGTTCTTAGTGATCATGAAAAGAAAGATTTCTTAAAAATAGCAAGAGACCATGAAAAGTCAACCCAACAGCTGGCAGATGAATAACACAAAATTGATTGGACTCAGTGAAAAGCCAGGAGATAGTACAAATGACATAAAACACCTGTTTGCAAAAGTAATGGCAGAAAACTTCCCAAGTAGGGAAAAAGAATTTGATGTACAGATAAATGAGGCATATAGAAGCCCAATTAGCCATGATCAGAAAAAATCTATACCAAGGGATATAATACTCAAGATTCAGAACTTCAACACAAGAGTAAAATATTAAAAGCTGTTACTGAAAACAACTATAAAGGAAAACCTGTCAGAAT